CAAAAAAGTATTGATTGGGGAATGATGAAACCAATTGTGATATACAAATACAATGGAATATTATTGTGTCATAAGAAAAAACATATGAATTACTCAGAGAAACATGGGAGACATAGGAATGGATGCAGAGTGAAGTATACAGAACCTGTAAATCACTCTATAGAGTAAATAAAACAATGTAAAGGGAAATAATAATACAATTGAACATTGCATGATTATAATGACCAAGCATGGCCCTGAAGAAGAGATGAGAAAATATATTTCTTTTCCTTTCATTAAAGAAGTAGGGAGACCATAGGTATGCAATGTTGCATATATGTCAAACATGACTGATATCTTGGCTGGTTTTGCTAAATTTTTTGTTTAGGTTTTTAAAAAATAATTTGTTACAAGGAAGGTTTGATAGGTAGGGGAGCAGAAAGGGCATATTAAGAAATTAATGTGACATAAAATCAAATAGCACCCATGAAATGTTAGAAAATTATATACTTAATAAGTATTAATACCAATACATTTTAAGCTGAAGCGTAGGTTGAGATGGACTGACAAGCCCTCTTCCAAAGTGATGTGGAAATTACAACTGATCAAGCTGGGGAAAAAAATCATTTTCTAGTCATCAAAGGGCACTCCAGTTTCCTATCAAGTTACCAGTCATTCTGCACTGTCATGCCTCTTCTAGGATTCTAGAGGTCATTATTTCAAACCTTCATTAATTAACAACTTAAAACTATTTCCACATTTATCTCCATCCTCCCTAGTCTCAGTGATGATGCTACTAATGTCAGCAATCCAACCCTCAAAAGATTATTATGGTTTAGGTTGCTGTCAGGATGGGCATGGGGCGAAAATGAAGCCTTCCTAGTAAGTCCATTAATGAGACCTCAGAAGAGGAGATGCTGACTAAACAGTCATCACATCAACCCACTTTAATTTGTGCAGCACCAGCATAAAAGCACCCAGACAGACTCTGATCTTTGGCCCCTTGGTGCAAGATTAGCTAGTTAGGTCTTTTTTATCCCATTTCTGGCATATTGGACTACTTCAGATCAGTCCTAGTCTGCACTTCAGGGAGCTCCAGCCTGAAAACTGTACAAGAAAGCCATTTCCTAGTCCTACAAGAGGCTAGGCACACTGCCTAGCATGCCAGTGAAAAACTCAACAGCTTCTAATCACATTCACATGGACAGACATCCACAAACAGGATGTGAAGGTGGGTATTTCTAGAACTGTGCCCAACCCTATGCCCATCCCCCTCCCTCAGCATTCCTCCCATTACTCCACAAGAGTCACTTTATTTTTAAACAAGCAGGAGTTTCTTTGCCAGGAGGAAGGGGAGGGTTCCGTCTCCAGAGGCTGTGGCAGAAGAAGTAGCAGAGATGACTTGTTCTCCTATGAGCGTCAGTTTGTGCTACAATTGTCAAAATGGCAAATGTTCCCTGTCAAATAAATGAGCACCACAGCCAAGATATGAAGATTCAGTTCAACAAACATTTATTAAATACTATGGGCCTGGCACGATGCTAGATAGGCTTAAGGATGCTGAAAAAAAAAAATCAAAACAGTCCCTGCCTTCAAGGAATTTACATACTACTGGGGAGAAATAACCTAAAAACAGGTAAGTAATTTAAAAATACATACCAAGTCATTAGTGAACAGTAAGTGCACCGACAGCTGGGACAAAGGCCTCTTGTAGCTAGATAGCAAAACAGATTGAGCACTGGGCCTGGAGTCAGGAAGACCTGAGTTGTGTGACTTTGGGCAAATCACTTAACCTTTGCTTGCCTCAGTTTCCTCAACTGTAAAATGGGGATAATAATAGCTCCTACCCTACAGGGTTGTTATGAGGATAAAATGAGATAATATTTTTCAAGTGCTTCAGCACAGGGCCAGGCACAGAGAAGGTCTTTAATAAATGCTTTCTTCCTACTTTCATTCCTTCCGTCCTTCCCTTCTTCCTTGTAGAAGGTGGCATTTGAGCTGAGACTTTTAGAGGAAGAGAGCCTTGGGTGGTAAGTGGCAGAGGTGAGAAGGGACAGCATTCCAGGCAAAGGGACAGCCTGTACAAAGCCACGGGAAGACAGATGTGGAATGTTGTGCACAGGAAACATGGAGCAGGCCAGTGTGGCTGGAATTTAGAGTGCCTGAGATGCCCAAGGAATGGCCTACAGGGTTTTACAGAACCATAAGCCCTGGTTGCATAGTGAGGATAAGTGAGCTGCAGCTCACTTGTACTCAGGAAATAAATCGATGTACCTGTAACCATATATAGTCCATCTAACCAAACCCTCAAAATTCAGGTCTTAACCTTTTGTAACATGCAACCATTTTAATTCCTTCACAGTGACTCAAGCTGGTTTATCCACCTTTTAATCAGCCTGCTTTTTTTGCTAATGAGAGTTGGAAACATGTGTTTCTGGAGGAATAGCCTCAGATTTGACCCTAAAAATTAAAGATTTTTATCTCATGGATTAGAATGTCCTGTTTGGGGGGAGAGTGGCAGAAGGGGGGGTGTGGCAGAGAGAAGAGGGAGGATGTAACCAGAGGCAGGCTTGCCTGGTTTCTTCTTTCTTAATCAAATTTCCAACCTGGTGGAAAACCTCAGGAAAATTAAACCTGCCTTTACCCTCACAGCAGGATATCAGTCACATGGTGTTATCATAAGAACTGTGAGTGCAATAATCCTCAGATTATTGTCCTGGTGCAGAAAACATGACTTCCCTTCTTCCTCTGTGCAAAAGGGCTGGTGGGATATCATGTGCTGAAGCCATCAAGACACAAGGTCATGATTCAGTCACATCTCTAATATTAAATGTAGCTTTTTCTGAGAGGAAGCCCAAGGACCATGGATGAATTATGACTAAATAGGAAATAAAAAAGAGTTGCTTTTTTCTTATTTAGTCACAAGGTTGCTCTGACTTTGCTCTAACTTGAAACATGCCCATCTTGCAATAAAAAAGTAAACTCCATGCTATTCAGTAACTCACCACATAACAGTCTCTATCCATTAAAACACAGCTGATAGAGAAGCTCCCCTCCAAAATTAATCTAATCATCCACATGCAAAAACAAAAGGGGATGAAAAATGTATGTTGCCCAGGTATACCATGCAGGTACATAAGGTCAAATTAGCTTATCAGTCTGGGGCAGATGAATACTGTGTTGGCTCCAGGATCCAGGAAGAGGGCCAGAAGGAAGAGATGTAAGAAACTGTCTTGAACTGCATTTGGAAATCAGGCACTTCTTTTCAATCATTCCAAACTGTCCATTGCCACACATGGCTATTTCTCCAACAAAATCTTCTCCTAGTGATACTATGTATCTGTGAAGGATGCAACGTACTCTCAGAAGAATTTTTTAAAATTATAAATAAACCCAAAAGGCAACAGGAAGATACTTCATGGTTAGAAGAGGGCGGTAGCATGTTCTTGAGGATTCCAGGATACTGTAAACGAATTACTAAAAACAGATATGACCAGAAAAGTGAGCAGGGACAGTCACAAACAAGGATGAAAAATGGCCATCTTCAGTGGTATACTGGAGCCCCCAAGATATCAAAATAATAAGAGAAAAACCTTCATCTCCTCCAGCAGATCCTTTTGGAGATTCATGAGAAAATATAGACAAGAACCACACAAAGTGAATGAGAAACCTTGGAGGCCTGGGATTTGCTCAGATAAATTTTAGTGTCCACCTATTGCCTTAAAGATAAAATACAGATTCCTGGGCTTGACATTTAAAGTTCTCATCTTAAGCCTATCATTCTAGACATGTTACATTACTCCCCTTCACATATTTTATGCTGTAGTCAAAACAAACTATTTACTATTCCTGAATTCAATGCTCCATCTCCAGCCTCCAAATATTTGCACAGACCACCCTATATGCCAGGCCTGCCCTCCTCTTCTCTTCTATCTCTTAACTCCCTCCATGGTACAACCTAAATTCTACCTCCTATGGGAAGAACTTTCTGTTTTCCCTATGTGTTGATACTCTCTCCTTCCTCAAATTTTCTAGCACTTGCCTAGCTTCATAAACATATCATCCAGAAGGATACAAGCTCCTGGAGGGCAGTTTTTCATTTTTGTCTTTATGTCCCTATGGCCTAGCTCTGTGCTTTCCTTATACACAGCACACATTTCACAGATGTTTTATTTGGCCTGGGAATCAGGAGACCTTGGGTCTAGTACCAGCTTTCAACATGGAATAACTGTGTGACTTTGGTCACTTACACTTTCTGTGCCTCACTTTCCTCTTCTGTAAAAGGAAGATTTTAGACTAGACTTAGATGACTTCTTAAGATACTACCCAACTCAAAGAATCTATCTATTCTGAAATATTCCAGGAGGGTAAGAGCTTAAAAGGTACAAATGTTCTAGAAAAAACAAAGTCATAAAAAAAAGAAAAAAACAAGTCATTCTGATTTTGTTCCGATTTACTGAAGAAGCATCCCCATGTTTCAAGCTTGACAAGGCAATGAACTCTTTCCTATGCATTAATCTACCTTCTGACTTCTGAACCCACTAAAGCAAGGCTAGAAATTCCAGTTTGTGTGCATTCTGTTTGACTGGCACAAATTTATATAATCATCTTACACGAGGGCACATGCATGAGAAACAAGAGCTGGAGCTGATTATTTTAGACCCAGTGCCTAGAATTTCCTCACTTAGGTCAAATTTCTCAGTTTATCCATTTCTCAGTTTGGGAAGCAGCGGAGTGGAAAAGGTGGGGAATGAATGTTAGTTTAAAGGTCAAAACGTGAGGTTGTGTATACTCTCCATCCTGTTAGTATTCCTTTAAGAGGAGGTCAGATATGTACACTTTCATAAATGGGATTCTTCAAGCAGGAACTTACAGAGAGAACAAGTATACAGAAAGAATAGGTTTTGCTAGACATTACTTTCATGGGCCTGTCATGTCAGAGCACAAAATACAGTTCACCACAATCACCCAAACACTAGAGGCCAAGGAGGAAGCTTTTACCAGAGCTACTGATATTGTACCTGTACATATACCTGTATTTGACATCAAAAACTGTTGAGTCTTCCTCATCATCATCTTCTTCATTTAAAGGAGTCATTTCTACTCTCTCTGCTGGAGTTGTGATTATATCATATTTCCGGGTTTTCTTTATTCTCTTTCCAGACCTAGGAGGGAAAAAAACATACTTATACAACAGAGAAAGAAAAGAAATAGGTTGCCCTGGCCTTCACCTCAGTCTGCAAAGGGAACAGGCTTATTATAGCTTTCTGACACAGAAGACCAATTCCCAGTGTATTCCTTTCTCTTGAACTGGCAACTGAGCTCATTCTCAGGATCCTTGTTTCATATAAACCACACCATTCCAGGGCAATCTTTCTGCTTCTAACACCCTAGCCGCTGTACCTCCCAAGGGCCACCACCAACATGACATCTCACGGCTGCGCTAATTAAAGGCACCGAATCACTGGAGGCCTGTGGCAGTCTGCTAACCAAACAAGGTTGAGCAAGAAATGTTATCCCTACAGAGAAAGAGGAAATGAGAAGGAAATTTGGAGATCTGAGCCTCTAAAATGTTATTTTACAGCACACTGACAAACCATTGAGAATATGGTGGAAAGTCTGAACACTTGCTCTACTGCTCTGCTTCTGAGTCATCATTGTGCCCAACTGAAGAACTGTCAAGAGATATGGTGATATATTATGGGGTAACGGAATATGCATTGGACCAGGGTTCTTTTCCTCGCTCTGCCACAGGCAGCCATGTGACCTTGGATAAGTCACATCACTTCTATAGGCATCAGGTTTCTCCTTAATAAAATAAAAGGATTGGGTTACATGAACTCTAAGCTTCCTTCCAGCTCTGTGATACTATAAGAACATAAGCTGAAATGAGAATTAAGGCAGAGGGCTATCTTTGCTGGGAAAATACTCAACCACAGCATTTTTCTTAAAATATTCCTTGATTAAAGTCCTATGCTAATGCCTCTACGTGTATAAAACATAGGTGTAAAACAGACTTTGAGTCTTTAAGACTATGCTAATAGAGCAAAACCCCTCATACATCCTACCATATCAGTAAGACTTTGAGAAAGGACCCAGTGACGGGCCCTATCATCTTAAGATTACACTGAGTGGCTAAGTTCAAAGAGCTTCATCACCAGAAAGTTGCCCACTGGGTGAGGATAAATCTGTTGGCCCCACCAACTTACCAAGACTATAGACTAAAGCAAAGAAGAAGCCTAGTACCTTGCATTCAGCAGACACTTTAATAAAAACAAGTGCTCACATTCATAAAATTTGTTGCTGTTGTTCAGTCGCTTTTCACGTATGTCCAATTCTTCACGACCCCATTTGGGGTTTTCTTGGCAAGGATATTGGAGTGGTTTACTATTTCCTTCTCCAGCTCATTTCACAGATGAGGAAACTGAGGCAAACAGGGTTAAGTGACTTGTCCAGGGTCACATAGCTAGTAAGTGTCTGAAGCCAGATTTGAACTCAGGAAGATTAGTCTTCCTGACTCCAGGCTCCACACTCTACCCACTGTACCACCTAGCTGCCCATTTATAAAATTATGAATCACCAAATTCCTAAAAATATTAAATGTATTGGCATAGAACCAAACCCTTCTCAGTCAAGTTTCAAAACCTGAGACCATTAGAGCTGAATTTCCTCCTCTATTGATGAGTCACCATAGGATTGCTCACAACTGTTTTTCTAATGGGACTTTCCCCTTCTATTTTCTTTTCAAGAAAAGGGACGGTGGTTCATTTAGTTTAAAATAGTCAAGGATTCAGACAGGTGTTGAACACTACAAATTATGCGCCTTTCAAACCAAAGAAGCACATTTTAATTTCACAAGACTTGGCACCCTTCTCACACATTGCTCTGAGGCACACCATGTTATGCTCAGAATTTTGAATACATAAGTAAAGTGGCCAATTATAGCTGAAAGTCAGGAGGATATTCCCAAGGCAGTAATAACAAAATCCCATAAGTGTGAAGTTTGGGAATGTTGTTAAACAAAATACAAGCCAGGCATACTAGATCCTTTATGATGTACTCCAAATACATGAGTATAAAACTATTTTTCTTACACAAATCACTACCAGAAAACAAGCATGTGTATCTACACATACTCTTAGAAACCATGTTCAATGAAGACACAAGACAGGCTATTTGCTTTAAACAAATCCACATAATCAATATGAAGATGATTTATGATGACAGTGCGTTACTGTAATAAACTTTCACCTAGGGGAAAGAAAAGGGTTGCTGTGGGTCACTAATGGAGAAAGGCTACACAGCATTCTCTATCTCAAACATCTCTCTAAAACAATTACTCAAAAAACAGAACACATAACTGGTAAATTCATGCTGCCACACTGGAATAAGATTAATAATGGTGTACTTTTCATTTGTTAGCACTTTCCTCCAGTCATGCTTTTACATATGGGTTCTATGTACTCACTTTTAAGCAAGACACATATGAAAATTCAAACTAAAGAATGAAAATGTCTACCTCCCAGACACTGCCATGCTGGTGAATGGACAGTACACCAAGTTAGTCCATTAGTATGGATGTCTTTAGACAGGAAGACAAGCTACGCCTAGAAATGAGGGGGAAGACAAGAATATCATAGATGGAATATGGAAAATGCAGCAGTGTTTTCAGTGATCCTAAACTGCTCATTTCCACAGAAGTCCGTCTCTTTCATGACAATGATAGCCTGCCGGTGTTATATGGCTGCCCGTTATGGAAAAACTCAATCTGGGAAGAACAAAAATTGCAGGTGATCCAAAAAGCAATGAGAAGCTGCACAGTGAGGCAGGTATATTGGCAGTGACAAGATGACAGGAGAAAGACATTCTGGGGGAAAAAAGAACAAAATACTATTAAGGAAAAATGAAAAAAAAGAAAGACACATCTTGGGCACATATGACCAAGTCATTCAGGCAGAAAGACTAACAGCCAATACCTGGGCAACCCCAATGTTACCAAGGTATCTCAAAGCTATCTGAAGAGCCAAGAAAAAGGTGAAAAGTCCCTAATGAAGGATTCATGGAAAAACACGGATGAAACTTGCATAGGATGAGAATGCACTGGTGGAAAAGGTACCCACGCTGATGAGATCACAGATTCCTCTAAGTCAATAAAGACAGAAATTAGAACGTGATTATTCACTGTATAAAAGCACTGTTATCAAAAAATTCACTATATGATTGTATTAAAACTGCAAAACTCTTCAGAGGTGTGCCTATTTCACAAAGTTTCATTGAGCGATTCTTTGGAAAGAGAAGAGATAAGCCTTTGGAGAGAAAGGAAGGCAGGCTAGCAGAGGTCCACCAAACTGACAATGTGTAAGTACTCCAAATACACAATAAAATATTTAAAGTAAGCCTTGGATTAAGGATTTTGGAACAAGAAGTCTCTTTTAAGGTCACCTAGTCCAAATCCTCCTTTTACCCATGAGGAAACTGAGACTAGGGAGGTTAAGTGACTTGCCCAAGGTCACAGAGGTGGTAAATATTGATGCCAGAATTTGAACTCAGGCTCTCAGACTCCAAATCCAACATTCTTTCTTCTATTGCATCATACAATCTTAAGTTTTCAGCATGACCGACCTACATCCTTAGATATTCTGTCCTTCCTCACTTTCAGAAACACAAAAGTACATGCAACAAAACTCAGTTTTGAGCCCAAGTTCAAACAGTACACGTAATCAGGATACAACAAGCTCATAAGGCTCAATGTAGGAATAAGAGAGGGAGGCAGAGTTACAGGGAAGCAACTGGTCCAATGAGAAAATATTATCATGGCGGGGGGGCCTTTAAAAGGAAATAAGTGGGCCAGTGATTGTTAACGCCAATGTAAAGATGGTAGGGCCAGCCCTCTCTCTTCATCATTGCATTCTTCCCTCTCTTTCAAATAGGAGATAATTCCTAAATCTTTTAGTTCTGGCAAAAAAAAAATTTCTAGGTTAGTTAAAACTCCTCTAATTACTCTGACAATACTATTTTGAAAGGTCTGTTTTTACTGATGGATAAACTCCAGTAGTCTTTCCTTCAAACACACTTGGCTCTTATGCCTAGAATGACCTTTCCCTGTTGAATTCCTGCACATCCTTCAATAATAATAATAATTTTTAAAATGATAATGATGATGATGATGATAGCAGCTACATTTATATAATGCTAACTATATGCCAGGCACTATGCTAAGCACTTTATAATTATTATCTCATTTGATCCTTTAAACAGTGCAACACAAATGTTGCTTTGTTCATAAAGTCTTCCCCGATTCCCACCATCCCTTACAAAGTCCCCCTTGAACCTCCCCTAGTATATACAGTGTTACATGACAGTAGCTTTGTGTCACATACCTCCTGGCCCCACTAGAATATAAATTCCTTGATGGCGTGGGTTCATCTTGCCTTTCTTTGTATCCCAGAACTTACCATGGTGCCTGGCTTAGAGTAAGTGCTTAATAAATTGATAGCTAGACCGCCGGTAGGCTCCATGAGGGCAGGGACAAAGTCCCTTCTTCCTCCTCCTCCTCCACCATTACTCAGCACCTAGTCTCCAAGGAAAAACTTTAATAAAAGGAAGTCAAAAGAATAACTTAACAGAAGATGTTAAAGTAGGGACCATTAAAATTTACCAGATTCCTAATTCCTAACCTCCAAAATCAAACTACTAACCCACCCTCCTACCTTCATGCTATACTATACCCTGGGAAATCACTTTGGGTACTCCCTGGGTGATTTTGAATTATTCCTAGAGTTCTCATCAAAACAAAAAGTCAACACTCCCTCCTCAATGCTCCATCACCCCATGTGTTTGGGGAAATTGGCTCCCAAATCAAGTCTGAAAACAAATCTTCAAGCTTCAAAAGAATGTGTGGATCTTAGGAACTGGGTAGGAATATCAAGGGCTGGAGAAAGAAGAATGTTTAGCGTCCAGAGATTTGAAAGAGCCTCATAATTGATGTCATGGTCTAGCTAAACTTGTCCAAGGAATCATATACAGCTATTCGTGCTTTTGGAGCATCACATGGTCAAGAAAATGCAGAGTCTCACCAAATGATTCTAGGCTTGGAACTGCACATCTATTTGAGTAAATGGCCCCTAGGTAAAACCACTGCTGACCTGAGAGAAAAGGCTTCCAA